CCTCCACCTCCACCTCCACCTCCACCTCCACCTCCACCTCCACCTCCACCTCCACTCCACTCCACCTCCACTCACTCTCACTCACTCTCACTCACTCTCACTCACTCTCACTCACTCTCACTCACTCTCTCACTCACTCTCACTCACTCTCACTCACTCTCACTCACTCACTCTCACTCTCTCACTCACTCTCTCTGATAGGCAACAACTGCAAGGCCTTCGAGTAGAAACGCAGCCTACAGAACAAGCGCCCCCTCAACGTCGAACAGAACGCACGCACCACCAGATCGAAACGGCCCTACACGCAAGAGTGCAAGGTCTGCGTGCTTTGGTACAGGAAATTGAGCAAACAGTAGACTATATGCCTCAAGATGTACAGGGTGCTCTCCTAACTCCCCTGGCAGACCTGCACTCACAGCTGTGTGGCCTGGTGTATGTTGCCTGGTTACTCTCCCTTTTGCATCCTCATGCAGACGATCACGACCAGTAGTGACAGGGTCCTGGTGACATGCTCTTGCAGTAACATGTTGTCCCCCTATTCTTACAGTTTTTATTTGGATGGGGGTCCCCTGCTAAAAGCTAGATGCAGTTACTTTCCTGCAAATGCACTTCGCCGTGACGTTTGGCTCACAGCAGGTCGTAGCGCCCTGCATGTAGGAGTGAGGTCAGCCTTAGCTGACATCACCCTTGTTGCCTTTTCGTTTGCTTGCGCCGGTCCGGGCAACTGCCAACCTTAGCTGGCAGGGGCTACACTCGCATTTTCGAGCAGAGCACTTCCAATGTCACATGACCCATGGATGGAGGACAGCAACTCACTGGACTTAACTGATGGCGCGGAAGATAGAGTCCATGTGCCCTTTGCATTCACACGTGACCATGCGGAGTGGCTCACAGTAGATGACCAGGCCAGTTTTGTCCGGGGTACGGAGGTTAGTGTGACGCAGTCCCAGGAAGATGCTTACGCGGCCATGGCTATGCAAGATACCCTCAGCAGTCCTCTTGGCCTCGATTCTGCTCGACCTACGCTCGTGTTGTCTGATGTCCGGGCGCAGCCATCCAAACAAGACGACGGGTATGCCACCCTTGCCACAGAGGGAGACCTGCCTGATACTACAGCCATTATTCAGACACTTATGTTGCACCGAGACCTTATCATGAGCAATCAAATGATTTACCTAATCGTGGACAATCGAATGCCGACAGATGTTCCGCATTGGCCGGCATTTGCAGCATGGTGGGCATCACGTAGGTGCCTAGTGGGTCCCCAGGAAGAGGCAACTGACATACTTTGGGTCTGTGCAGATGCTACTACTGGCCTTCACAAGGTTCCATACTACTGGGCAGGAGTCTTTGTCCTAGAGGCAGCGCGGTTCTTGTATCCTGCACAGCACTTCGCACTCATTGATAATGACTGTGTGCCAGTCACACTTTTCGAAGTGCAAGACTTACTACAGCTGGCGCATCAGCAGCACCAGTGGGCTGACCTCATAGGGTGCGTGCGTTCCGAGTCTAGCTCCAGCGCAGGTATTGGCACGCTACTCTTCACAGAGGCTCACTTGGAATATAATGCAGGTCTGGTCATTTCGGTAGGCAATCGCAGCAAGCACAGTCCGTTGGAGTATGACACGACTGCTTCGACCCTGGCGAAGAACCTCCAGGAAGGCCGCCTTGCCTTAGTGTCTAGAGCCAGGCCACCTGTCAATCCGAGCGACACAGCCATAAGCGGCACTATGTTCACCCCTTTTGTTGGGATAGCAATGCAAACTGCCCTTGACCTATGCATGGTCTGGTCCTTGTATGGCCTATACATGTGTAAGCACTTTTGGCCTAGCCCCGTCATCAACCCGGCTGAACTTGGTCCTGGCGGTACAATCAAGTGGCCACGGCAATCCCACCCAAATGCTCTCACCCCTGACGGAAGAGCGCGAACTCCGTGGATCACCAGCTGGGCTCGTGCTACCTTCGAACAGGGAATACTGTCAGTGCTCCCAATGCTTATAGGGCCATGCACTGTCGCGTCGTTGCCAGGTGAACACCTCTTCCAAGCCAGTGCGCTGCCGTGCAACCGAATGCGACCTGCCATATTTCATGCCTTTGGCAAGGCCAAAGTTGGTGCGCAGGATGCTTTACGAGAATTGGAGCAGCAGGGTTGGGAAACGCTACCGATCGCTATACTCGGCATGCCCAATCTGCCCCCAGCATGGGCCATTGAGACTTGGAAACCAGTAGGTGGGTGTAAATTTACAGGCTACTTCTCTGGAGTGCTTTGCGCTTCTGCTGGCGAGCGATTCGTCCACGGGCGACTGAACTCTTTCCAGCACAACTGCAGGTGGACAGCCTTAGCTGTCTTCCGGCCGAGGAGGGTGATGTAGACGTGGAGTCAGTTTCCACGCCCTCGTCTGATACTTCTGCCAGAAGAGCAGAACGACTCACTAAGGCAATTGAAGAAGACTCGACGCAGGGCAGTCAGGCACCTGACCCTAGTCCATGCACTCCCTGTCCGCAACGGCTGTCTCCTCCCCTCTTTGTGCCCTGGAGTCAAGTCGCCTTCAAATCAGGAAACACCCTGGCACGGCGTGACGAAACAGCCTCCTGCCGTCCCTCTGCCGGGGCCAAACGTCACTCCTGAACCGAATGAAAAAATCAAGGGTCTGGGAAGGCTTGAACTTCTTTTTCCTGAAGAATGGACCCTCTGCTCCAATGAGCCCAATGTTTGAAGGCTTGAATCTTTTTTACTGAAGAATTGACCCTCTGCTCCAATGAACCCAATGTTTGAAGGCTTGAACCCTTTTTACTTGAAGAATGGACCCTCTGCTCCAAGGAACCGAATGTTCCACTCACTCCACTCACTCCACTCACTCACTCCACTCACTCCACTCACTCACTCCACTCACTCACTCCACTCACTCACTCCTTCACAGCTTTGTGGCGGACGCTTCAATCTGCCTAGCTGAGCACTCTGCCTGTACCCGATGGCCATTCTGCCTGCCGTCCTCCCTATTCAGAACAGAGGCACTGACCCAGTGCAGCTCGCATGGGAGTAGCCGAGTGTGAAGTAAACACAGCCAAGCAAAACAAAAACACCCAAAAGGCACCACACCACTGAACCGCGGGTACCCCCAAATGATCGGATGCAGGCACTCACACCTGCGATCGTCACATTGTTTCGCACTACTTACTCTGGATTTCTTCCAAAAGTGTTTGTAACTCACGTTCCAAGCCACCTTTTGGGGCTTGCCCAAATTTCTCTTCGCCTTGCTGAGTTTTGAAGGCTTGGAAAAAAACATCTGCTACCGGCCTCAGTTTCTCAGTAGTGGTCAAATAAATCTTCACATGCTTGCCGCCATATGCAGGAGCCACACGACAGTAGAGGACATCTTGGAGCAATTTGTCCGGCGAATCAATCTCAGAGATATGTCTGTCCAAAACTGCGCGTGCGTCACCAGACATGTGCACTGCTGCCTCAGCTGCGATGGCTGCCCAGACATGGACATGGGGAGGGCCATACTCATGGTTCTTTCCAGCAGCTTGCACAAGCTCGTTGTACTTCTGGCTGGCCTCCTTGGCTTTCACCACAAAGCTGGCCGTCGAAGGGATCAAGCAAGTGCGGAACGTCGCAGACTGCAAGGCCCTCACGTCCGCAGCCAGTTTCAAGTTGTTCTTCAAGAGTAGCTGCATCACCTTCACGATCAGCTCTTCCTTGTCACCCCCAACCTGGCGTCGCTTCACTGCGGGCCCGGCGAGGGTACTTGAGTTGGCAGCCCAGCGATCCATGGCGGCACTCACCAACGCGTAGCAGCAACGACTATGGTGCTTCCAAACGCTGCGCCAGGTGGTCATGTAATGCATCCAAACTGTCAAGCTCAGTTGCACATATTGCGCACGCAAGTGAAGTTGGTATGTCTTTTTTTCCACGAGTACGGACGCCATGTGGGCAGGGTGCCCAGGTCATCATTGAAAGGAAGGAGACACTACTTGATGAAGGGGAAAAAGGACAAAGACGAACCCAACCAAACAAGCAGAACACCCCCAAAAACAAAACCACCAAACAGACCAGCACCAAAAACCAGACCCAAAACAGCCAAGAAAAGGCCCAAACCAGAAAACCAAACCAGACCCACAAGGCCAGGGGCCGTTTCCCCATCATACGTTAGTGTCTCCTCTGTGCTAGGGTGAGACGAGTGAAAAGTTGAGTACTATGTACTGTGGAGGGCCCGAATTCACTACGCAAAAGGCATGTCGAACGAAGCAATTGCACAAAGCAAGGGTCGAGGGATCCACTCACTCGAGGGTCACAGAAGGGCCGAACAAATGGGCCTATCTTTCATCTCATAGTGTGATCGTGCCGCCGCTGTGTCAAGTGACTGTGCCTGATGTCCAAACATTTCTCACAAGACAGGTTCGACAATCGTCAGTGCTGATTCTTGCCTAAGGAATGCAGTGGTTGCATCGCCGAACAGGCCAAGGAAAATTCCCTTTTCGCAGCGCAACCCAGACAACAGATTGCCCGCACGAAGTGAGAGGCCATAATACCAATAGGCGGTGGAGACAATACAACCATGAGTCTGCCTAAACTCGACGAAAGCCTCCCAAGAAGGGAGGTCCACGTAGTACCCCAGGGCTAGTGCGGTCAAGCAGCTAGGGATGCAAGAGTCATGGCGTCGTGCCTGTCAGAAGGCACTATCTTGTGACATGCAAGGCCCGTGTGAGACAGGTGAAACGATGGAACTATCCTAGCTTGGTCCTGGTGCCGCTCTGTACAAAATTGGTTATGGATTAGCATCCTCCAAGATAACTAAGGTTATCCCAGGGCGCTGTCCATTACCGTTCGCTTCTGCCCGCCTTCCTGGGACGAGGAGCTAAGGCTCTCATTCCAGTAGGCTCAGAGAGTCGTAGTAGGTGATGGCGACGTAGAACTGGCATGTGGACTCTGGCTCAGCAGGCATGTATTTGCGGGGTTGGTGCAAGGAAGTCCGCTCCCCATTGGTCTTCTGCAGTTGGCGGCAAAAAACGCAGCCAAGTGGGTTGAGGTAGTTGTCCACACTTGTCAAAGACATTGCGGTGGGCATACGTTCCCCGCCAGGTCTTACTCTTCCCTTGTCTGCGGAATGCACGAAGCTTCATGCAGCCTGCAAAGGCACGCCTGGCAATGTAAAGGAGGGATGGTGGGATACTGACTTCCTGCAACGAGACGCACAAGAGGAAGGCCTCTTGTTCAATGATGCGTAGGCTGTGAGGGAGACTGAGTTGCTGTAGCTGCGAACAGTGTGCGAAGGTCGAACCTAAAAGTTCGACAACGTCCGTTGAAAACAAGTCAACAGACTGCAACTTCTGGCAGCGCTCACAGGCAGCCGGGCCAACCCAATTAAAGTCTGCCGGCAGGGAGAGCGTGGCAATTCCTGCTTCTAGGAAACAGCACTCAGGCAAGCTCCTGTGTGGTTGCGCAAGCTCGTACTCTGTCTTGCCCCAGTTGAGGTGGCGCAGGGCCGCGCATCCTTCAAAAGCCCTGGGCCGAAATTGCGCTTGGGGGGCCAGGAGATTATCAGAATGCAACGTGATCCCAATTTGGGTGAGCGAGCGACATTGTTCGAAGACCTTGATGCCAAAATGTCGGCATCCTGGGGCCGTCACTTCACGCAGCACATACAGTAGCACCTGCGGAATGCCCCATGCCGCAGGCTGACAACTGTGTCCGGCAGGTGGACAATTTGCAGTCGGTGGCAGCTCCTCCAAGCAGCCTCCCCTACGATCCGAAAACCCTCTTCGACAAGGGCGTGGCGGACTTCTGTGTGATAGGAGAAGGCTTGAGGGGGGACTTTGTTATTCTTGACAAAGGGCACTCGTATGGCTTTCTCTTCACCTATGAGGGACCCCTTGTGCATCGCTTCAACAAAACATGGCCGGGCAATGACGTACAAACTCTGCTTAGCACTCAGCTGCTGTTGAGCAGGATCTGTTAAGACAGCATGGGTGCCTATTTGCACGAATTGCAGTTCGCACCCGAAGGTGCTGCTTTGCCCTAGCGTCGGAAGCTGTTCTAAGATGGCATTTTCGAACTTCTGAAAGCTGGTACTCACACTTTGATCAACGCACACATGTAGCTCCTCACCTGCCAGGGTGATGAGAGTGAGGGGCAGGGACGTCGATCTGTCCTGTTTGTCGCAAAGGCTGAGACTGGGCACAACCTTTGCCATCTGCCTTTCTTACGTGTAGCTGGCTCGAGCCGAATGACCGCAAGGACAAAAGCACATGGCGCCTCGAACCTTCCTGACCAGGCAGTGGTGATGAGGCGCCCCCTCTGCCCTTATGGATAGAACTGCATGGACTGGGGACATGTTAAGGTAAGGGTCCTCCTGTCCTGGACTGGAGCTAAGGCTCATACCCAGGCATCCTATGGTTCTCAAAAGTTAATTCAGGCACGACCGGAAGTATAGCCCGTGTCTGGGATCATGCGCAGCCAGGGCGGCCATCGCAGTCCTACACAAATGGCAAAGGCGTTTTCTCCGCGTATATTCCTCTCCATTTGTGCCGGCCAGGTAGCTAGGCTCTGCTTGCGATGTACCTGAGCGACGGCGGGACGGCAAGAGTTGGCATTTTTTTTTTGCACGGGTATGGGCGCTATGTGTGCCGAGAGGCACAAGTCACCAGGTCGAATTCAGATGGGGGGCACGTAGATGAGCCTGTCAATCAAGACCAGCCAAACAAGACCCAAACCAAACAAGCAACAAACCAAAACAAACACCAGACCAGAACCAAAAAGATCAGGCTCAAATCCGTACGTGTCTAAAAGCGCAAAAGGTGCAGATCCGTGGATCAACATAGCAGTGAAACGGGGCAATGAATTCATATCCAGCCGCTCTCAGTAGAGGATGTCCAGGGCGAACTTGCATTTTGATGCAGTCTCTGGTTGGGCAGGAGTGCATTCCTACAGCAGTGCACTGCAAGTGGGCATGTCTGAGCATACTGAAAATGAGAGTGATTTTGAGCAAAGTACGTCACAACTTGTATCCAAGAAAGCGTACGCGCAGAGGGCCAAGGGAGCCACACCGGGTTTGAGGAGGTGGCAGTAGCTCTTCACTACTACAAAGCAAAACTTTAGGATACTCGTGTCTTGGCTCGTCCCTAGTGCACAGAGAATGTTGATTGACAAGGACGCAGAGACGAAGGGCATTTGAGCTTGTCTGGAAAACGGTTTTGGACACACGAGACGTCTTGGATTTACCGGATTGAACCCGGTCACGACTTGTGCTCTTGCAGTCATTTCACTTGGTTGCAGTGAACTTACACAAGCTGCTACTACATCCAGGACACTTCAAACAAGCAGGAGTTTCCGCAGCTGTGTGTCAGACAGGCGGAGGCACGGGATGGTCAGGACATCTGCGAGCGGGTCATCGCCTGACCCAGTGACTGAGGCAGGAGCACACAAGACCTGGTGATAGTGCCAACCGACAAGATGCACAAAGCCAACCAGGTCTCCTAGGACCGTCCGTCGCAGCCAGCCCTGGGTCGCTCGAATGCTTCAGAGTTTGGTCTGTCATGCAAGCCCCATGGACTAAGTGAAACATTTGGGTGAAACGTCGCTATTCCTAGTGCTAGTTTACTGTACACTGTACCATCCCTAACCACCTCTTGGGAGGCAGCCAGGGGAGCTGTCTATCTGCTCAGTTGCGCGGGCAGGGCCTGTAGGAGGGTCGGAGAAGCCGAAAGGCCTCGACCTTCTGCATTCTGCCATTCGGTCTGTCGTACTGTTGCCAAGTCATCGCTTACTATTTACGAATGTGCCGTACTACTCAGGGTGGCTTCTGCACAGCTGATCATGAATTCTTCCCATTCTTCTTTCATTGCATCTGACTTGGGAAGCGGTCGAATCCACACTGGGAGTGTTAATTTGGCACACATTTCAAAGGTGTTGCGCTCAACATAGGTCCCCCTCCACGTCCCTTTTTTGTCTTTCTTGCCCATCCTGACGAGTCTGCAGAGTTGCGTACAGTCAGCAAAAGCTCGCTTGTTGATGTATAACAGGGCAGGTGGAGTATGCAGGACCTCTAATGAGCTGCACTTCCTGAAGGCTTCTCTGCCAATGCGCCTCAGCGTGTGAGACAATTTGATGCACTGCAGTTGGCTGCATCCTGCAAAGGCGCTTCCTACGATTTCCTGAACACGGGTACGGGAGATGTCCACTGTCTGCAGTTTTGCGCAGTGTTCAAAGGCTGATGGTCCGATCCAGCAGAAGTCATTTGGGAGATCAATCGTTTCCAGCCCTGCCCCCAGGAAGCAGCCTTCTGGAACGACCCTGCGCGGTTCTCGTGGGTTATAGCTGGTTCTGTCCAGGCCAATTGTCCGCAAGGTGCGACATTTCTCAAATGTTCGGACATTGAGCCTCGCCTGCGGTGCGAGTTGATTGCTTTGTTGGTCTGAGTCTCCAACCCAGGCCAGCGCATGGCACTCCTCGAAAGTCCAGCAGCCGAAGTCAATGCACCCCGGGGCTGTGACTGTATGGAGCACATAGCAGCATCGGAAGGCTCCCTCTTTCAAGCATAGCAGTGTATTAGGCAAATGTACCATGAGGAGTCTAGTACAGTGCTGCCAGGCAGCTTCCCCAATGGTGTGAATGCCTGCTTCGATTAGTAGGTGCCTAATACTGCTCGAATGCGTGAAGGCATGGGGGATCACCTGTCCAGATCTGGTGACAGGCACTCGTTTTGCTTTTGCATTCTGCCTCATCTGGCCTTTGTGCTCTGCGCACTGACAGCATTGACGAACGACTATCTGAA